GAAATATTAAGGGAAAGAGGAAATTGGGGTTGGAGCATAACAAAAATCAGATTCAGTCTGCACTGGGTAGCAGGTGATAGCATCCAGATGATTGTGGAGGAGTCAAGTGGCAGGAGCAATTAAAATTGTAAATATACAGAATGGCCTCATGAAAAGCATGTGTTTGATAGGGAGATTGAATCATCAGCTGAGGAGTTCAGGTGAACCATGAGACATGAGGCTTCTGTCAATTTTGCATTGTTGCTATCACTTTTACATACTCTCCTGTTGCTTTGGATGTTCTCTTATATGCTTGCCATTGTATTGGATCTAAAATTAACATTAGTGAGCTTATAAAGGCCCAGTACTAAAGCCAGTGTCACATCTGTCCATCTTGAAAGCAGTACAGCAGATTGAGTTTGGTTTGGCAATCAACAATAAGTGACTTTGGCCTCACTTGGGCAGGTACTGGCTTCAGCCCCAGTGGCAGCAACAAATAGGAGTAAGCAGAGAGTGAGCAACGACAGTGATGGATGGTAGCTCTAGAGGCCCAGTCTCATAATTTGTTAGGTAACAACATGGCATAGTCAGTACAACCCCGGTAAGACTCCATGGGGAAAAGGGAAGCAAGATTAATTGATCAAGTGTAACTATGTGTATTATATAGAGAAGGAATAGGAGGTATATGTGACATGCGGAGCAGCTGGACAACCAGCGGCCAGGTATTTCCAACATTCCAGGCTACCACAGGCTACCTTATGCTACCTTAGGGTACCTCAGGTTTCTTAGGTTAACTCAGGTTTACTCAAGTTACCTCAAATTCCCAAGGTTTATCCCTAAATCCTACATCAGCAAAAATGCTCTGGGCCTGAGATAGCCTAGGTAGCCTGGGTGACCTGAGATTACCCTATAGATCAACCTCAGGTAGCCTGGGCAACCTGGGTGACCAGGGCAACTCAGGTTAATGGAGACTACCCTCTAGGGTACCCTGAAGTCACCCCATAGGGCTAACCTGGGTGAACCTGAGGAAGCCTGAGGAAACCTGAGCAACCTGAGGCAACCTGAGACAGTCTGAAACTTGGTTTAATTTTATACAACCTAAAGAGCCTAAATAACTTCGGGTTTTAAGCTATTAAATATATAGATGTTCTGTAATCAAAAGCAGACATTCCACTTGCTTGATAAATCATCTATAGATCAAAGTTGTAAGTAATTGCGCGAAATAAGCGCTTAAATAAGCGCCGAACCGCATGGGCGCCTGTGAACTGCGTACAATCAAAAACCTGTTGATGGGGTCAAATCATATTCATCAAGAGTATAACAGATTACCTCCTAAGCTTGCTACACTTAAACATGAGTCTGAATAACTTCAGTGAGCTGTTCCGAGATGTAAGTTAAGGTCAATAAGATATTAAGAAGCTTCTTCTAATAAGAATACATTAAGTGAGTCCAATAAGAACAATGAAATAGTATAAGTTGAGCAACATTGAGTGATAAGACTAAGTATAAAGGCAGGTGAATAATGAGATAACTAAGATGTTTTTTAGATACCACTACTTATGATAGGCACCCTCAGACTACCTCAGGTTGCTCAGGCTGCCTCAGGTTTACTCAGGTTCACTCAGGGTAGCTCAGGGTAGCTCAGGCTACCTCAGGTTGACATAGGTTACCTATAACCACCTGAAAAGGCCAAGGAAAAAGGGATAAACCTGGATGACCTGGGCAGCCTAGGCTTCCTAGGTGACCTGGCAGCCTAGGCTTCCTAGGTAGCCTAGGCACCCAAAGGAAAGCCTTTGATAACCCAGGGCCCAGACCATTTTTGCTGATGTAGGCAACCTAGGTGACCTCAAAGAAAATGAGAAACTGAGACAGTCTAGGCAGCTTAGGTGGTCTAGGATACCTAGGTATCCTTAATTTCCCTTAAGTCTCCTTAGGTCATTGTGGGTCAACCCAAAGTCAGCCCTGGGCCTGGACCATTTTTCCTGAAGCAGCATAGTGCATTCAAGAGGTTTTAGCCTCATAGCATGAAGGAGAATTCATCAGCAAAACCTGTATTTTTGCTGGAGCTGCTGGAGCATCCAGAGAATTGAACAAGTCTCCAGAGAGCTCTGGAGAACTCTGGAGAACTCTGGAGACTCTGGAGAGAACAAAGCTGTAGTTGCCGATTGATGGTACTTTGAGAAAGTTTGAGAATGATTGGACTTTCCTTTTTTGGAGCTAGTCTGGCTGTCAGCCAGAGTAGCACCAAAAATGATTAGTGTGTGGCTCGGGTATGCCGGGTTTCCGGGTTGGGTGGCTGTGCCGGGTTGGGTCGGGTCCAGCTCTGTGGACCCAAGACCTGGCAATATACCCGGATCCACCCAGGGTCAAGAATACCTATATTTTATGATGTACATTGCAAGATATATTTATCTGTTAAATTAATTAAAGAACTCTTCAATGTCTTTTAGAAGGCGCTTATGGGCACTTAAACACACTGAAGGCCATGATGTCATCGCATTTTGAGCCAAAATGCCATGACATCATGGCCTATAATCAATTCTGACTATATAAATGTTATAATATATAGTATTTATGGCTACTTACAGCATTTATACAACCTCGGAAAACCTGGAACTCAGACCCAGCATCAAACCTGTACCCAACCTACTGGGTCCGGGTTGGGTTGGCATTTTAGGCACCCAACCCAACCCGAGCCACACACTAGGAATGATGGCCTCAAGTGCCCTCAACATAATGATGGTTGCCATCAGCAACTCCTTGTGTCATCAACAATGCTGTAAACTATCAGGAAGTGATATAAAATGCATGGGCTTTCAACTTTTGACAAAGATGAACTTGTATTTTTTTCCCTTCACCCACTGTTGCAATGTTCCATCCTTTCACCACAAGTTTCACTTTCACATAGTGTTCCTTTTTAGAGGTAATTTCCTGAAATGCAGAAGGGTTTGGGCAATGGAGACAGAAATTGAGAAGAGCACTATGGAAACATTGGGAGGGGAAAAACAGAAGACTCATCCAGTACCTGCCACTTATTACTACTACATAATAATAACTGCTGCAGTGCACCTAAATATTGCCACAGTACATAAAAATGATGAATATAAAATTTCTATTATTAATGCATGGTTAGTCTCCCCTAAGCAGACTCATATACACTGACAATCATCAATGTGTGTATAGAGTCTGCTAGTTCACATGGGGTCAATGCTGCACTAGAAAAAGTTTATGTAAATATACTTTAATGCATCTTTTTTCAGCCCAATTGGGTGCAGTGTACATGTTTTTTTCAATAGCATAAGAGCTATGGTAGTAATAAAATTGTAAGGCCAAAAAATCAGTGGAATGAACAATGAGAAAGTTGGGAAAATTTCAGAGGGAATCAGTGGGCCAGCTTGGAGCACTCAAAAGTGAATGTGTGGCTATGCTTTTATATTTACATAATCACGAGTGCTTAAAGCTGGCACAGCATCTGGGGCGCATGTACTATAGGACTAATGCATGGTTACATGACATGGAAACTTGATTGATAGCTCTCTGGAGGTCTCCAGAGGTTTATATTGGTCTCTGGAATAGGTAACCTTGCTCCAGCTGCTCCAGAAGCTACAGGCACTCTGGAGATCTCTGGAGACCACCCAGGTTTTGCTGATGTTGGCCATGGTAAGTAGGATAATACTCAAGAGCAAGAAAGAACCAGCCAGCATCTATATCAAGGTGTCTACTTGCTATGACCTAAAGTAACCGGAACTTTATAGTGGTTTTGCCAGCAAAAAATTCCGGTTACTTTACATCATAGCGAGTACAGTATATATAATAAGTACCTCCAGTCTCCCACTCTGATCTCAGTCCAACCAGTCCAACCAATCAGTTGGATTTTCCATTATTAATTTGCACTCTAAAATAAATGCCCAAATAAGCACCACACATGTGTGGGTGCCTGTAAACTGCATATAATGAAAACTTGGTTGACAGGGTCAAATCAGTTTCATCAAAAAATAACAGATGACTTCAGAAATTTACTATACTGTCCCATTTTGAGCACTTCATAAGGGTCTGTGACTGTGACCAATTGTATGAATATTTTTTTTTGTAGGCATAGAGCGTAACCTGTGACACTTGAAATTTTAGGGGACAAAATACAAAATTTGGCGCTGCAGGCTGCAATTTTTGGATTGAAGTTGCTCAAAATTTCATAGACCCCCGTGTGACCTGCAACATGGTGTGACAGTTTGTAAAATTTGGATGCCCTGTGACCTGTGACTTACGAAGTGCTCAAAATGCTACAGTACTTGAGCCTAAGTCAAAATAACTTAAGTAGGGTTGTTCTAAGTCATAGTTAAGACTAGTAAGTCATAATTAAGACTAGTAAGACATTAATGAGTCTTGGGCAATGAGTGTAAGCAATTCAATATATAACTTGTTTAGTTAGAAGATTTGGGTAATATAAGTGTAGAAATTGAGTTAAAACTGAGATAGTTGAATAACAAAGAATGTGAATTGTTTTTTAAGTTTTGTGCCTCAATAAAAGTGACCAAGGCTGCTTCAGGTTGCCTCAGACTTCTCATGTTTCTTCAGGTTGTCCTGGGGTTCTTCCCATATTCAGGACACCTCAGGACACCTAGGAAAGGCTAGACTTTGACACCTGGGAGACTGAGATACCAGGAAGGTCTAGGTACCATAGGGTGCCTACATTGCCTCAAGTATCTACTTGGATGACCTGAGGCCCAAACTATTTTTGCTGATGAGTTCTCACTCAAAAATCACTAATAAATGATCTTTCCCTGACTAGCAGTAGGCCACTTAAGCATGCTTTGAGTTATTTTGTGACAATCTGACTGCCTCCATGCTTTGCGCTGTCAAGGTTGTATGCACTCATCCTACAGAGACTGAGCATATTTTCAAGGGAATCAGAGGTGAACTCAGTCCAATATGGATATTTTGCAGTGGTGAATCCAAAACAAGACAGTTGTGCTTGTTGCTATTGCTCAAAAAAGGGAAAAAGAAAATTCACAGCCAATGATTGCTCCCTGCAAGGCTCGAAGTTGTGACCTCCAGATTATGAGACAACAGTCCCTCAGTGTACAAATATGAGACTGGCGCTCTACCGACTGAGCTAAGGAAGCAGAGCTACATAAGCACATACAAGCTTCAAGCTCACTAAGGCCTAGCAAGATATTCTAATATTCAATCATCATCAAATCAACTCTAGATACTTGTTTTAAAATCAGCTTCAAAGGCCAGCTAGTTTTTTGAGAGTCGAAAACTCATCCTTCCCAGTTGCTTTACATAAAGCGTGGAATTTCGAGGAGGAGTCAGCAAGAAGAATTTGTGGTCTAAAATGATATTATTAGCTGGTCACGGCTCATTTGAACACTAAGCTCACTTGTCAAACTCCACAATACGACCTTGGTCTAATAATATGATCTATACGGGGGCTTAGCAAAAAGGAATCTGAATAAAAAGAACAGTATTCACCCGATCATAATCAATCACTGTCCTCAACCGATGCGCGATGGTAAGGATCGTGGAATCAGCAAAGTTTCTGTCAAAGAGTCAGTGGGGCAAATTCCAACAACTGAAGCTGCTTACTGTCTGATGGTTTTGCTAATCAGCTCGTCTGTAGCGTAATCGACACTGGCGGTAGCCTGAAAGAGTCGATAATTAGAGAACTTGAATATATAATAAAAGTAAGAGCCTACCTCGTCCATGACCAGGATTTTTGAACGTTTTAAAATCGCGCGCGCCATGCACAGCAGTTGCTTCTCACTATTGACATTGTTAATAAGATTCACATGAGGAACACAGAACAGCCATACCCTGTGGAGAAGTTTTCGCCACCTTCTGATACAGAAGAGTTGAGATTTCGGAAAACATTAGCATTGATCGTCCCTTCATCCTCAGCAGGAGTATCAGAAGATGGGATCAGGTGAACTCTGCGCAAAGCTTCGAACTGCAGAAGCGGATTTAGTACCTGATCCATGGAGCAGATTCAAAAGTCTCTCACAATTTCTACATCTTCGTATTCATCAAATACATCCAACGTTGAGCGCAGTGTCCCAGATAAGATGGTAGGGTCCTCTGTAATCAATATGAGGAAGACGTTTAGGACGTAGAGACTCAACATACGAGGTATAATTGTCAGCTTGTTCCGAAGGTCACTAAGGCCCACATGGGTAATATTGATGTCGTCCACCTATACACACATCCATTGAATCGTCAGTGTATCATCAAGTCTGCTTATAGGAGACCATAGTTTACCAATATGCGTCCTTCAGTTGCTTCGACAAATCGGAAAAATGACAAAGCTAGGGTTGATTTTCCAGAGCCAGTCTAAGGGATCATCAAGAAGATCATGAGCAAAAGTTGAGGATGTGAAGGGATCCAGCATACGCGACCAAGAATCCCGACTTTTTCTCCGGGATGAACCTCGAAGTTCAACTTGTGTAGAACATTGGGTAGCTCGGGCTAAGGCAAACATCAGAATAGGAAAGAGAGGCGAACGCTTGACGCACGGCATAACGTATAACGAGATCTTCGCATTTTATCGCACCAGAAGAGGGCCAGCTTGCAGGCGGTCGAGGTTCGATAAATTCGGGCGCTTCACTTTTTAGCAAGGAAAACTCTTTGACGCGTTCCAAGGCTACCATACTTTGTTCCAAACCCACAAATCTTCTCACCTAAAGGAAAAGTGATTAAAAAGAGCAAAATCACAAAGTAAGCACTGCAAACCATGAAGAGGAGATCATTTGTAACGGTGTCGGCAAATGCGATGGAGAATCCAGCGAGTGACGCTGAAATCGCGGGGTTGACGACTGCGATGCAAGCTATGGCACCCAGAATGCATGAAGATAAAACATTGAACCTGATAGAAAGCCATGTGTTCACTGCAAAAAGAATATTAGGGCAACGCTGGAAATCTTATTCAAGAAACGTACCGCCCCACATCCAGTAGGAAGGGTTGGCATTCTAAAAGCAGTCGTCAGAGTGAGCCGGGAGACTCAAGTATGATTTTTTTCACCGTATCCAAACACCTGAGCATGTCCCTCAAAAACTTGCTGGATGCACCAAAAGCACGGATGATAGTGACACCGGCAATAGTCTCTCCGTTGATGGAGTAAAGTGGCGACCTAGTGACAGAGTCTGTTGAAAAGATTAGTAAAAGAAATTTAAGATCATAGTGGTTCACACTGCACCTAATCTCCTCATATCTCGGGAGGTTTGACCATAAACCTTCGCAACTGTAAGAGCATTAGTTGCGGCCATTCTAATGCTTAAGTATGAGCATAAGCTTACCATTCCAGTAAGCAATACCGAGAAGGAATGCAGTAATCACGAATGGGGGGCCACCAACTATACTGATACTGACAAGAGTAGCGGTTACTGATAGGACACACTGAATTGAACGTCCAAAATCGTCAGACAGGCTGCTGTCGATTTCTTCAAAGTCTTTGCCAAATCGGTTCAGAAGCCGCCCGCGATTAATTGTATCGTGGAATCGCATATCTGCAAAGAGCACAGATTCCAGTATACCTAATGCGGATTTGGGTATGTAACGCTGAGACTTTGAATTGAGACTCACGTTTGTACAAGATGGTTGATGCATGGATAGAGCCACTGTCTAAAATAGCTGTTAGTTCTTCAGCATGGCACAACAAACAGAATATACATACAGAGCACGACCCAGCATGTATTACTAACGACCGCACCTAGGACATATAGTCAGTTAACGAGACCCAGATGCGGCACTCAAAAACCTTGACCTGCGGCAGTGATCTACGGATATTCAGCTTATTTCGAGCACGAGACATTGGCAAAACAAGCACTCACCAGTGCATAAATGCCAATGTAATAAGTCGGACTCTTTTGATGGTCTTGCTCTAAAACTGACCCAGACCACACTCTTCATCCTAAATCAGCGCAGGTCCAAATAAGAAAACACATACACGAAACTCACTTCAACCATCCGTTCTCCGCAACGGGACTCAACGCAGCCAGCACATGCACAACTCCAAACAGAATCCAATACCAATACGATCCGCACGCACGCACATATGTTAACCAAACCACCCGACTCACACGACCGACCGCCCTCGTCTCCTCCTCAACCACCTTCCTCGCAGGCTTCCTATCTGCTTTGGCGGGAGCTGAAGTAGGAGCAGCGATAGTGACAGTTTCCGAATTGGGATCACTATCCGAACTTTGCGAACTTGGAACGGGGAGCTCCTCGATGGCTTGCTCTTCCTTCTCATCGCCAGTTTCATCGATCGTTGATTGTACCAGGGTACGGATGACGTCGGATAACCGGAACGCCTCCTGAGTGCCTTGGAAGGATACACGACCGTTATCAAGGGCGACAACGTAGCTGGCGCCGGGAGCACAAAGTTGGACGTGGTGTGAGACAAGGATGATAGTTCGGCCTTGCATGAGGCCTCCTTTGAGACACTCATGGTACAGATGATGTGCAGTATGAGCATCGACTAGATGGGAACTTTGTAAGGTAGGGTTCATGGCGCAACCAAAGATACAACACACCAGCGGAAAGGACATCATCAAGCAAAAGTATAGAGGCTCGAGAGTAAACAGCACGAGCGAGTGAGACTGAAAATATCACATCAATAAACATTCAAGAGCATCGTCATTGTGCGACATACCTCGAGCTTTCTGACCTCCAGATAAATTGACCTAATGATTGAAATCAGGGAAGGAGTAATTCAACTAAGAAAACTAAGACTCACACCACGTTCCCCAATTTCTGACTCATCCCCGTCCTCCAGAATTTCCATGTCGGTCACCAAGGCGCAAACCTAACGAACCATCAGACTTTCAAAGACTCAAAATACCAAACCGCTATCGTACCTCCAACGTCTTTTGATATCGCTCCTCGTCATACGGCAGATTGAACAGAATGTTGTCTAGAGTAGAGCATCAGTAAGAGGAAGAGGGAACAGTGAACAGAGATAAAGCAAACCCTTAATCGACGCATTACGAAGCCAAGCAGACTGAGGAACATACGCGCACACGCCGTGTATAATCCAGCTTTCCCCGGGAGCAACTGTCGTGAACGAGGTCATGATATTCGATGGCGAGCGTGGACAGAACATTTGTCCAGCCAAGATATCAGCTTCTCCCAGCAGAGCTACACCACATATCATTGAGCTACGGGTATTTCATGTAGGAATCTTTAAGAAACTGACCAAGTAACAATAGTGTCTTTCCAGACCCCAACTTTCCACAGACGAGCGATAGCTCTCCATCCGGGAACTTTAGGTTCAAATCTATCAGAATGAACTTTTGTCTGGGAGTTGAAGCTACAGAGGGAGGAAGACTGGCGTCCGCACTTCCGCTTGTATTGCGGTCCTGAGGCCACGTAATAGTACATGAGTGGAAAGCAATCTTTTTGGGTTGTTCATTAAGAGGTGGGACGGGGGATACTTCTGTGGGGAACTTTTGTCATGTTTCACAGAATGACAATCAGTGCAAAAATACTTGCCCTGGGTGTTGAGGTATTTTTCGATACGGCGCATTGATACTAGACCCTAGTAGAAGGACAAGTAAGCCTTGTGATGGCAACTTGCAACTAATTCTTACCTGAAGCATATTGATGAAGGTCTCCGGCAGGGCGTTCAACGCAAACCTGAGCTCACTAAACACCATTATCGACGTAAAGGCAATCGAAGGGGTCAGGTCTTCCCCTCGCCAGACTGCGAAATGCCAAAAAGAAACCAGGGTTACGAGAATTGGAGAAGTGGTCCAGATGGTATTGAAGCAGACCTGCGATTTAGAATCAGCATCAAGATTAGAAGTGGTGAGAGAAAGTTGCATATACTTCAATAATATAGTTGAGCCTCTGATACTTGAGTTCCCTTTCTCTAACCTTCATAACTCGAGCCTGGAAACTTCGTTCCCAAGCCATAAACTGGTTTTTTTCCCTGATTAGAGGCGACCGTAGGTAGTTCGGAGGACTTACTTTTATCATTCTGATCCCTCCAAGAATCTCATTCATCAACGATTGCCGTTCATCCCTCGCTTTCATCAAGTTGTCCTGCGCACCCACAACGACCTTGCCAGCAAAATGGTTCATTGGTAGGAAGAGGCAGGTTACCCCTAGACCAAAGAAGCATGA